GGAGCAGAAGGAGTGATGTATAATAAATAAAAATGGAAAGATGTGCGTGAACATATGCGAGACTCCAGGAAGGTCAGGTATGAAAGAAACAGGGAATTCTGCCTGAGGGAAGGGGCTAGAGACTTGCAAGATAAAGGCTTAGACTGTGGTTGGACTGCCCATATGGCATTGACCAGCAACCTCAAAAGCAGGTGATGATAGGACCTGACTTCATGATATGTGAAACCATCTGTGCCCCCAGGGGAACGAGCAAGACCTAAAAGCCCGAGCAAGCAACAAGTAATGCTCAGCCATACAGCTGAGAGATACCATGAACAGAACCAGTATGAATGAGTCAGTGTTTAAGGTGTATAAAGAGTTTCCTCTAAACAGTGACTGTTAACACTAGACTAGCTGTAAGTGAGTGGGAGCTATTAGTGTTAACCTTAGATCAGCCATGTTTGCAATCAACAAGTTATGTATGTCTACCATATCCTTGAGGTTGTGCAGCCTTTTTCCAGAGGGCTGTGAATGTGAGGGGACCTGAGCAGGTCTGCTAAGACTGTCAGCCCCTCTTCTGCGTGGTCTCTCCCTGCTCCCAGGGTGTCCTCTCAACTTTGGGGGGTTTCTGCCTGAGTTCTTGGTAGGAGGCCAAAGTTGCCATCTACACAAAAGCTACATCTCTACTAGTCAATTGGACATGCCCTTTTTTTAAAATGGCTCTTTCCCAGAGTAGTTAAAGAATTGCTGTGCAGCTCACAGGAGCTGTTTGCAGCGCGCTGCCGAGGGTCGGCGCACCATGCCCTGGGCTGCAGCGCACGGGCGCACTGGGAGAGGCAGATGGCGAGCCTGCCGGGTGGTGATGGGGACAAGCAGACACAGTGTAGACCCACAGCCTGCATGGAGCAGCTCCTGGGCCAAGCCCGGTTTTATCGCAGCGGGAACAATCTGTTCTGTTCCAGAAGAGAGGCTGGGAGGGGACGCACATACGTGCATACGTGCAGTGCAGATGGTCCAGGGACTAGGCTCTAGGAGCAAGTCTTGGAGCTAAGTGATTTGACAGTGTAGACCCACCCACTGATAAAATGCGTTTGTAATATGAAATGCTAGTGAGAGCTTATCAGAGGGAATTAAAAAGACCTGCATAACTTAAGAAGCTGCCTCCTTAACAGCGATGTGAGTGATTAATATATTGTGAGAAAACACAGCATCCAGACAGATAAGAAGCGATGACAGTACCTGTGTCTGCATGCCTGCTGAATAGTGTGGCCTAGCATACATTCCGGAATTTATTATTTTGTATTTATTAATTATTATCCCAAATTGTCAAAGATTGCCATGCTGGCAACCACAGTCAAGGGAGACCAGTTCCATATCTAGTAGGTGTGAAAATCCAGCTAGAGCAGTAACCTATTGCATTCCAGCAGTGGGTGTAAAATACTTGCTTCAGCCTACGAATTTAAACATGTGATTTCATCTGAAGCATGGTCTTGAATCAGAAACATAAATAGTGAGTATCATTTGCATAGAACACTATAACTATACATAGTTAACATTTATTATAAATAGTGAAACTATACATAGCAAATATTTAACTCCTGACATCCCAAAAGTTCCCAGAGAATATGCTGCTACTTGCATGGGTTTGCAGCTGGACCATGAGGCAATGAGACGCAGCTTTGCTCCTGTGCTTGGCAGGGCTTCAGACCATGGGCTTCAGCTTCCCCACGTCCACCTCTGAAACGTGGACAGTTATGCTAGCTGTAACATAATGTGTGGACCCACATGCTGCAAACATTGCATCATATGAGTACTATGCTGAAGCTGAAAAAAATCTTTTTTCTGGGGGAAGCTAATCTGAGGATAAGGCAGATGCTACTACAGTGCAGAAGGGCTGGTTTAGGGACACGGGCAAGACTCAGCTCCTGGCGTTTTTGGATCAGATCAGCCCTCCCCCCCAGTTTACTAAAACCCAGAAAGTTTTATCTGCATTGCATGAACAAATCCAATAGCTTTCTTTTCTGGTAAGAGCAGAGACAAATGACCATTAATAGTCTTCGTGCTTTTTGCATTTGACAGCTTCTCGTAGCTAATAAATAATAGGCTGTGTTAGCTCTCGTGACTTTTCTTAAGCTGCTTTTGGCTGTGAGCAAATTGCTCTTTCTATCCATGCAGTAATGCCCCAGACATATTTCCCTGTATCCAAACATGTGGGTGTTTTGCAGAGGATAATGGAAATTAAATTAAAGCTGAATAATACTGATTACAATGCAAGAGTATGCAAGCAAGGCTAATTAATACAACTGGCAGCACAGCTCAGTCCTGACCTGTGACACCACTCACTCTTGTCTCCCTCAACCCTATTTTCTTCCTGGGCAGTCACTCACAGCAATGTAAAACTGCTTGTTTCAAACAGTGCAGCAAGCTTGATAGGGAGACATTTACAGAGCAATAGCGCTTTTCTCCCTCAAGACTTAAACGATGTTCAAGCCTCCGGAAATAAAAGAAAAGCTCCATTCTCCTTTCTGCCTTCTTGCTTACAAACACCCTAATTCTACCGTAAAGATTAGAATCTTTCTTATGTTTTAGTGTTTGCTGAGTTTTTCTGTGCTAGAAACTGTTGCAAATAAATAAACTGAAATTTTATCCTGTTAAAGTGGCGTCAACAAATGTTTTTTTCTTATGAATCAGCTCGCTTTTTATCCCACGTTAGTGATTAATGGCAGTTTACCACAAGCAAGAGAATGGCTTTTAACTTTGGATAACGTGCACAGACTACCCGAGAAAATTCTGAAAATGGGACCGGAGGGCCTGAAAGGTTGACGATGGGTTGGAACAAGACATCCTGCACCTCTGCATCTTTGACCACTAGATCTCTTTTCTTTCTGGTACCTATTCCACATCCTTCATCAAAAAAATCTGGAAGGGAGGCAGCTCAGAAGGCACTGGAGCAATGTGGGAGGTTTGGCCTGAGGCCACTGCAGGTTTAATCTTGAAACATTGCAGTGTATCGAGGTCTTCAAAATACAAGGCCAAATTTGCCTCACTGTGGAATAAAAGCATGCTGCGAACGCAGGGTTTATACAGTGTTGTAGATCACTTAGCACCCCAGAAGCTTCACGACCAGAAATGCTCTAAAGAGCCAGACTACGGCTAGACCTGGGCAGTTTTACTAGATGAAGGAGGAACCATCCTAGCCCTTTTTGGGCCATCAATTCAGCGCAGCAAGGCGGGAGAGCAGCCCCCGTTCCACCTCTCGGTCGAAGCTGTTCGCCGTGAAAGGACGGCAGAGCTGCTGCCTCCGCACGCGGTCCCCACGGGCGCGCGAGGAACCGAGTCCACGTTTGCTCCCGGGGCGCTGCCTGCAGCGAGCTCTGCCCCTGCCGCTCCGCGCGGCAGCGAGGGCTCTGCTGGCGAGGCGCAGGCCAGCCCCCGAATTTGGAGCGTGCTGCTCGCCGGGG